TAACTCGTATGATGACATTTAAAGTCACCTATCCAACATAATTATATCGCAATTACAATATATATAGTATTTAGATATTCAGCTATTTTGATGTTTTTTTTAATGTTCTTTTGTATTTTATTTTAAAGTATCGAAATGAAGGATGACAGAAATAATTCTTATGCTTCAGCTATAGATGCTGCTGCACCTCAAGATCCGCAGATCGTTATGGCGGTTCTTTTCAGTCCCAACGAAGAAAAGTAAATATTAAATATTTCTAAATAATCACGACATTGTTGATATTATTTATTGATTTGCAGATATGCTGTAATTAAGAAAAAATGTTGCGTTGATAGAGTAGTTGCTTCATAAGTTGTGACTATGAAGGTTATTGCACCTCGTCCAGAAAAATTGGCTGGTCTGATGTCAATAGCAACGAAGGTTGTCATACAAATAAACGCTATATTGCGTGGAGTTCCATGGATGATTGATATGCCTAATCTTGGTATTATTACATGCGGTTTTGATATATATCATTCAACTAAAAATAAAAATAACTCATATGGCGCATTTGTTTCAACAATGGACATAAAGAAGTCATCAAGATATTATTAATTAGTCCAAGAACATGTAAAAGGCCAAGAATTATCAAATTATTTAACGCTAAGTGTAGCGAACGCTTTACGGGCATTTAAAGAGGAGCATCAATGCTTACCTGAACGTATAGTATTTTATCGTGCTGGAGTTGGTGATGGTCAGCTGCACCAAATTGTAAACCATGAAGTTAAAGCTCTAGTCAATAGATTAGACGAAACATATAGTAGCGTTGGAAGTGCATTTCCACGCTCTGCATTTATAGTTGCATCTAAAAGAATCAACACGCGATACTTTCTTAAAGGTCGCAATCCTCCACCTGGTACCGTTGTGAACGATATTATTACTTTACCAGAGCGTTATGACTTTTATTTAGTGTCGCAGTCTATATTCCAAGGTTCGGTTTCACCTACCAACTACAATGTTATACACGATACAACTGGATTTAAGCCAGAACATATTCAAATGCTAACTTATAAAATGACGCACATATATGGTATTATAATTGGGCTGGTATCTGCCGCGTACCAGCAGTGTGTCAATATGCTCATAAATTGGCATTCTTGGTAGGTGAGAACATCAACCGTGCTCCATCTACTGCACTCGAAAAGAATTTATATTTGTTGTAAGAAATATTTTTTCCTTATAATTATATTTAATTTTTATTTTATATTAGTTGACGGCGGTGGAGACGCTACAAATTCACTTTTTATTTAATTTGTTGCACACTGAGGTAACATAAGTGCTAAAATAATACCTCATACTTGAGTTTAATGAACAAACTTTTAGTAACTATTTGCTTTAATTTGAATATTTTTATATAAAAAACAAACGAAATATAAAAAATTTGAATTGAATTCAAAGAAAAACATTTAGATTCCATTTTTGTTTGGTGTACTTTACCTCACAACTCGAATGTTGTAGATATTTTTCCTATGAGGACATTCCAAATGTTCCTGAAATAATTTACCAAAATATGAATCTGTTTTTTTTGAATATTTTATAGAATAAGAATATTATAATAATATTATCGTATCCATTAAGTTTGTTTTTGCGAATTGATTTCCTTTTGAAAACTCATACACTTTTTTAATCTCGTTACATTTTATAAATTTTTTGAATAAGCTATTAACGAACATATAATCTAGAGTTTTTTTTTTTTGATCTTTTAGAATCCTTTCTGGTATCATCATTTAATATAAACTAAATATTGAAGAACTAATTATTCATTAATACAAACTTTAGTATTTAAATTTATAATTTTCCCTCTGATAGCACGATGCTTGTGTGCTGGAAACTATAGCGCATTGGGCTTTTAAATTTTAATGTTTTTAAATTTATATATCGTCTACAAATACTCCTAAAAATGCACGGCAAAGAGTTATGGGTTCAAGGGTAAAGAGGACCGGCAATAAAGCTTTATAAATTCCTTAGATTCGTAAAAATGTCTACTACAAATCTGCATATAGTAAAGATTTGAAGTAGACATTTTTGTCCGGAACCTTTAGGTCTATATGAAGTTTCTAACTAGTCAGATAAACCTATGCAAGGTTAGGTTATACTGGCGATCCCTAGTGGATCCACTTACGCCTATTGGCCCATTGTATTACCGTATATATAAGAAAAACTCATGATTTAAGACCACCTAGAATCTTTGGCGAAGCATAAAATGCTATTTAACCAAACTGAGATTAAAATTTTATAAACTAAATAACATATTATATTTAATTATACATTAATTTTAATATTAATAAAATTTACGTTAATTTTTATTTTATACAACAAATACTTTTATAAGAAACTCATTTGTCGTTCATTCAATGTTACAACAGGCATAAAGCGCGCCCATAAACCAGCGCCCTGTCCTGGTTTTACATATGGAAAAGTATGGTAGTGATGATCGACATGGTCCAAGTTGAAACTTAAATACTTATTATAATTGAAATCTTAATCACATTGTCAGTGAAGTGAAACTGTCCTAACTCTTCCCAGTTAAAATTTGTGATAGAGAAGCGACCTGAACTTGTTTGAAAGAGTGAACTGTACCTGGTCGGCTGTGAAAATGGATTGGCTACAGCAACAATGAAATGAAAAAGGGTAGATAGAGAAAGGGTATTTGTTTCGAAATGATGTAAGTGAAGAGGATTAGTTCTACGAATCTTACTTTGAAAAAATTAAAAATATCAATTTTATTGAATCTTCTAAAAATCAACTTAGAACTAACAATAAATTATCGCTGCTAATTACTGTATTAGAAGAGAAAATAGATAATTAATTGTCCTTATCCAAAGCTTCGTCCAATTTCGTTTCCATGTCGGACATTATTCTTTAATAGCCGGGTTTATGTAGTTCCTTTTGAGTCGCTGGGTTCCAGTGCTTTGAGTAAGATTGCTTGCAAGTGGGTTTTGGTGGTTCCTGAGTTTGATTTTGTACTTCTGTGTGTGGCTGACTACTTCATAAAATTTTATTTAATAGTAAGTTATACATAAGGAAATAAGATTCTGTAGTAAGGCTAATTGAGAATTGTTATCTAATTGCCTGTTTCATAATTAAAAGTACTTGCATAATATTAAATATAAAAAGCAAACTAAAATATTTATTACAGCAACATAAATCTATTTCACTATTAGGTTTAACTCAATTTTTTAAAAATGTCACACCTTCGTACAAATCTTCGATCGTGAGCCATCGTATGAGAAGAGCTTCTTGCCGCCTCATGAGTTGTGAGCAGAATGAGCCGAAAAGAGATCTTTGACTTAATATCTATATTTAAAAAATAACTAAACAAATTTTTTAAGTCTTTTGTTTAACCCTGCTATACTCTGAGTATACCCCAGCTTTGGAAAGAGCCGGCAAAGGTTATTACAAAATATCAAATTTACATTTTAATTCATCCTTTTATTTTGGTCTTAATAAAATAAGCAGTCTCAGAAAATAATCAAAATTGACTGCAATAAAAGGTAGTAGCGATCATAAAAAATATGAAAACCGTACAGACAATGTTCGCACCAACTCACTTACAGTTATAGGTCAAAGATCTAAACAAGCAGTTACTAAACGGGCATCAAGTGTAAATTATTGGATCAGGAACTTGGCACCAACTAATTCATACACAGAATTTCGTTTAAATTTATACTTGTTATGAGTAATATAATATTTTATTTTCCTTAAAATTTTTTTTTTATTTTTTAAATGATAGAAAAATTATAGATTTCAATTTTCTTGTATAACTTGTAAGAATTGTTTTTTAATAAAGTTTTATAATTAATGTGCTTAGTTTTATGATTTCATTTATACATTTGAGTTTTATTCAAATTGAAAACAAAAAATGCGTTTGTATTCTGTGAGAAGACCTTACTAAAATGATAACTAACTTTATAATTATTATTGTAAGTGAATAAGTGGATGAATTTAGTAATCTACAATAATAAAAAAATATTTTAATGGCAGCATTTTCAAATTCCCAAAAATGAGATATTATGCCGAAGCCGCATTCCATTGTTTATAAGTCGAGTGACTTATTTTGAATCGTTAGTATTATAAATATATGTCCCACCCTACACTCAATTCCATATTTTAGGTCTGAATAAAATAAACTATAATACACACATTTTAATCATTGGATTTATGAACATTCCAGAACAGAAGACAGCAACTTTTAAGTACAAAAGCCATATTATTAGCAAATGCTATTATTAGATGTAGAAAGGTTATACAACGAGCAGATATAGGTATAACTTAACATACTTACATATAAGAGGTACAACTAAACATATTTGCATACAAAATAGCAAAATAGTATTTTAATAGTATATATAATACCACAAATTTTCAATCCAATTCAGGGTCTGAAATTAACTTTCTACCCATTTACAACAATAAATTCGGTTTCGGCTGATATAAAAATTAAAAAAGGTTTTTTATTTTTTCAAAATAAAATAAAATAAAAAAAACTCATAAGTTAGATACGTATCCAAAGTAACATAAATATATAAAAGTCTATTATAATTAATTGTCGTATAGGGGTTTTATATAATGAAGCCACATTAGTTTTATGTCGTTCTACAAATGAATTGACGGCTCAAAACAATTTCAACACTTCTGTGTGTGTTCTGTGATTAACACAATTTTGTCAATAAGTTATGGACAAGAATTGCTATATCCACATTATAAAATTATATTGTATTAAGGCTACCATATTTATTTTTATTATTGATAGATACGTAATGATTTTGTTGCTACGTTACACAGTTTATAAAGACATATCCAATAGAACTTTCTTCAGCAACATGGATTTAACCTACTGGAAACGAAATTATACTTCCTTTGAATTTTAAATCTAAAAAGCAAATTAAATCAGGTTTTCCTTGAGATTTAAAAAGTTTTGACTTAGCATATTTGACAACATTTTCTTCATAATTTTTCAGAAACAATTTTGTGTTTATCTATTCAAAATTCCCGGTCACTTCAAAACATGTTTCGAACTTTCTTTAACAAAATTTTTTAGTATTTCGGGTATCAAGAAGTATATAAGGAAATAAGATATTTGCTAACGTGCCATTGACAAGGTGTAAAAGAATATATAGAGTCCGAAGATAACATTCGGAATGCAACCATCACGTTTTCCTATATACAATAAATCGTAATTCACGCTTAACAATAATTTCTCTTTGGAACATAAACTTCTAATTGGGATCCAAAGTAAGTTTATGGGTTGTTTTAAGACTCCATTAATCAATGTGCTAAAGTCAAAGAACGAAAGTCGTAAAGATCACTTTGAGATTTTATAACCTAAACGTTGACTCAAGCTCTTAGTGTATAAAAATTTATTATACCAATATTATTCATACTAGGTTGTGAAAAAAGTATTCTGTAGACTACTACATATGTATGGTATATAAAATAACAATGATTGATTATTGTCACAGTAGTCTGTCTGCGCGATTGGAGCTGACCTTCGCGGTCACTGGCTTTGTTTTTTCTTTCTTTCCCTTTTTCCGCCGACAGGCTTTCATTTGAAAGCATATAGAGCACCAGGTTTAGGCGGCCTCAGCCAATGTCGAGAGGTTGTTTCGGCCTATGTGAAGAAAAAAATTCATCCGTAAAGAATTTAATTTTCCCTCTACCATCCATTTTTGAGAAACGTGCACGGATCCGCCATTTGGATACGCGCATTCTGGTGACTTTATATACACTTCAACGGATTTTATATAAAATATGCCTATTTCGAAATATGATTTTTATTCCCGCAGGAAGTTTTGTTGAGTGTAAGTTTTAATAATTTTTTATGACATCGTTCTTGTAGATCAGATATCAAACATGTAGTAAAACTGCATGACAGATACTGACAGTTTTGTATAAATTACAAATACTCAGTTAATGACTGTAAATGCTAATAAACTTATTTTAGAGAGTCTTGAGATAACGTCTTTCGAAAAAACGTTCAATAAACAAATAACATAATAATATGGAATATGTGAAATCAATGAAATAATTCTAAAAATTGAGTTTGTCTAGTAATATGCTAAAAATTTTTTTCTCCGTAATAAATTTTGCTTTAGAACACGAGTTTTGTAACAAGAATTGTTGGCCTGACGTATACTAGATATTTAATACATAATCATTTAATAAACAAGTGAAAATGATTGAAAGTTCGATATCTGACAATGCCACTAAACCTGAAAGTATAACATTAAAATATAAAGGTGATGGAACGTCTGTGTCTCCTAAGGATAGACAATATGGAGGAGATACAATATTTCAAAATAATGATTGCCCCTTAACAAGTGAACAATTCTTAAGAGCAAGCCAGAAATTTGTTCTTCTTGAAAATGCAAATAGTACAAACGATAGGAATGCCTCAGCAGGAAAAGATGTTAATAAAAACAAAAACAGTTCCAAACCAGTTGAAGCAAATAGAAATCTTTCGAAGGAGTTTGCAGAGACAAGTTACTCAACCATTAACACTGAACATGAAATCAACTCTCCATTTCAGCCTCTACTCTATGAGGGATCAGCCTCCACAGTCTCACCTGTAGAATTGAATACAATAGGTACAACTGACCTTCAAAAAGAATTTGATTTTAAAACGATACGAAATAAATTTGAAAATTGGGCGGAGCCCAAAAACGATAACGTAAAGAGGTTAATAGCTAAACTCGAAAGAAAAACCAAGACTAGTAAACGCGATGGAAGAGATAAAGTGAAAAGGAAGAAGGAATATGGCAAGATGATTTATGAGGAAAATAACACAGAAAATGATGAAGGCAATAACCATCGAACTAACCCGAAATAGGATCAAACTTGTGCCAAAAAACCAATGAAAAAAGTTGCTCAGCTACTACTACTTAATTTTGGACTCACTGAACAAATCATATCCAAATAATGTCATCAACTAACATTAGGTTAAATTCTCATACCCGGATAATAATGACTAATTAAAATTTACTAAGTAAATGTATGAATACCATAGTATACAAAAGTCATCTTGAAAACCATAACACCCAAAACCCACATCCCACATCCCAAACCCTAACCTTAAACACCATTCAACTTTTATCTTAATAAATAAACACATACATGAATTACGAACCAACAAGAGCTTTTATTTTATTTACCAGCAAAAGTGGATATCACTCGTTTTATTCAAAATAATAAGATAGTAATAGGGTAATAAATAAAAAGAAACTCATTACAGAAGTAATAACTTAGTGTTTCCCAGCTATAGAATTGGTTAGAACGTGAAGTGTCTCACAAGCTTGTCATCTGACAAACAAGTAAAAGATTGCCTAATATGACTAATCGTTCAAAAGTTACTGCTCTTGAAGGTCAACTTGCGATCAATCGATCACAAGTTACTGTCCTTTAAACGTCGAAATTAAACTCGATGAATACTCTTTGTCCACGCATCAGCCCACATGCATCAGTGGGAACACGTACGTGAAAATCTAATTCTTCTGCGAATATTCTGTTACTCACATCAATATGCGGTGCGTAAATTAAAATCATTCATTATTAATTAATCTTTATTTCACAATTTTGAATTTTTAATTCAATTAAACTATATTTGGACAGAAAAAATATTTCTAGATATTAGTAATTGAGATCAGTTGCAGGTTGGTGCTAAAATAGCACTGGACAAGACAGGAAAAAGACTCGAATATATTACAGAATAATTGTAATATCAAATTGTTTAAAAGTCCTCTATACGTACAGACGTGTTTTATAGTGCTCTTACAAAGTTTTACTAGTTAGCTGGTGTTTAGCGCGATAACTACATACAAAGTTCTAGATCAAAGAAGTTTTTGAGTGTTAAATCGCATTATATATGCAAAAACTATTGAAATAGGAAATAAATGATCAAATCAACGAAGTCCATTAGCAACACGAAGCCAAAAACAGCTAAAGACCAAAAACAACTGAAACTCATTTGAAGAAACTTACGACACTTGTTTACACCAAAAACTAGTGAACAATGTTGGAGTGAACAATGTCATACCCCACTGATAAGCTCACCTCATACGCTCACGCTGGGACTCACCCCAACAAATCTAACAGCGCATTCCTGCTTAACTTCAATAAGTACTACAAATAGCGTCACAGTAAGCACTCCAAACTCGATAACTAACACCTTGAGTTTTACATCAACTCAGATATCCGTTTTTTCTACTCATGCCTTACCTTTACATCCAACAACCCCGGTAAGTTCGATCGCTATTACATCAAATATTATACTGAACGAAATGCCTATTACATCATTTTGCGCTATTCTATATTATTAATGCAAAAAATTCTCCGACAACATACTCAATCGAAGGGAAATACTCACTTAAAAGAAACCCCATTAAGCAATTCTCCTGAAAAGTCTTCAGTACAAAAAATCAAAGTTCAAAAAGAAGGTCAGAAAAGAACTCGTTCAAATCTCGATATTCGCCGTTCAAAAAATCCTGAACAAACTAAAAAACAAGCTAAATTAGATAGTTACTGCCTAGACAATCCAAACCGTTCTATATATAGATTTTTAATACTAGAAATAGAAGAAGAAGAAGCTGAAGAAGCTGAAGAAGTGATGCAAGATGGCAAAAAGCAGCCCAAACCTCCACCAATATTCATAGATAGGGTAAACAACATAAATCCTCTCATAAATATTTGGTCCTCACCAGTAGGAAACAATTTTGAGCTAAAAGTTTTAAAAAAAGAAAAAATAAAAATCCAAGCGAAAACCACTGAGTCTTATGTTACGATAGTAAAACAACTCGAATCGAAAAAAACTAAATTTTATACCTACAGGCCTAAAGATGAACGAAATTTTAAAGCTATTTTGAGAAACATGCATTCGTCTGTCAACACCGAGGAAATGGGCTATAAAGCTCTAAACGTGTTCAATATGAAACATTGTAGAACTTGAGCCTCATCAAAATAACAAGGAGATCTACAGCATAACGAATTTGATGCATAGTCGTGTCATGTTTAAGGTTCCTCGACCTAAACGGGACATTCCACAGTGTCGTAACTGCCAAAACTATGGCCACACGAAAAGTTAATGTCGAAGACATCCGAGGTGCATCAAATGTGCAAAAAATCATTCTTCGTTTCAATGTCCAATCTAAGGAAGAAGTACTGAAGTCAAATGCGATTTATGCGAAGGAAGCCATCCTGCAAATTATAAAGGTTGTTCGATCTATAAGCAGCTACAAACAGCGAAATTTCCAACACTAAGACCAAAATCAATATCAACTACAACCAAAGAAACTGACAAAGGAAAAGACAAAGCTTCTGTCCCGAGGGCTCCTAAAAGAAGTTATGCTAGCGTGCTAGTGGTACAATCACCTGAATCTATTACTATTCCAAAATTTCCGGATAAAATGAGCGAAGTTCTAATAGTAGTTAAGCAATAGTCACGCTGACAACTAAATCATGTCCGACAGTGAATTAAATACAGTCCTCTGGAATGCGAATGGGCTGTCAAAACACTGTTTAGAGCTACAAGAATTTTTGAAAGATCAAAAAGTAGACATCATGCGAATATCTGAAACACGTTTCACTTCAAAACATTATTTTAAAGTACCAGGCTATGACTTTTACCACACTATGCATCCCGGTGGAACAGCACATGGCGGAAGTGGCATTTTAGTTAAAACAAGCATATCACACTTTGAACTGCAACAATACCGCACTGAAGAGATTCAAGCAACCAGCATTTCAACAAAAGATTGGTGTGGCCCAATCACAATAGTATCAATATATTGTCTACCAAAACACGCAACTAAGACGGCAACATATATAAAATTCTTTAGAACTCTAGGTAACAGATTTATTGCGGGGGATTAGCATTAAAATGTTAAACACGTTGAATGGGACTCTCGGCTTTCAACACTCAAAGGACGACAGATCCACTTTTTTCCATTTTTGTAAAAATTCACGATGTTGTCTGCTTTGAACGGCTATCAAACACCAACTGAACGACGTAGCTCGCTCAAAATTAGAAAGTTGCCCACTGGTAGATTACAGCTGACAGCAGCACTGTTGCATTTGGAGTAACTGCGCGGGAAATTCAAAAATTCACTGACTTATCACACCGCCCTCGTATTTTATTAATTTTCTTGATGTTTTTTTTTATTAAATGAAATTTCTAATGATATGTTTCCAATGAATTTAAAATGGTGAAAACATATAGCATGCTATTTCTTAAGAAAAAGTTGTTCACAAATAGGTGTTATTTGATGAAAACACCATAAAAAAACGCTATCAGGTAATTCCACTAAATCAATTAAAATTATTTTGAAATGCAATTGATTTATAACAATTGAATTTGTTTGGCGTTATTTTTTAAAAATGTGCGTTATTAAAAATAAAGATATTAATTGAAAGTTTCCAAATTCAGTTATACTGTCGACCATATGTATATGTATATGGATATAAAAATCTGTATAAGTTAACACCCTGTATTACTCTAACGGCACCTTGCCTGTATACACAATTCTATTGCGCATTAAAATATCTCACAACGCCTACTCGCGTTTGTGTATTTAATTTCAATCGGGCTTAATGCCTGTACTTCTTATGGCAGCATTGTTGCAGATTGTTTTCTTTTCATACTGCAAGTATCTTGTAGAAAACATATCAAGTATCATTTGAAATACTTGATCGATGAGATGTTCAAATACTATTGGATATTAATCTCTGGCTAGTCATCTGGCTATTGACGTCAAAGCTAAAGACGCTTGAGAGGCGCTGTAGAAAATAGAAGCTCCAATCCTATAGGATGGAGACAAGAAGCTTATAGAATATTCTGATGAATTTTAGAAGCCATAATTCGATTGATCAATTCAATCCTGGAATTTTCATTAACGACTTTGGGCATCAGAAGGAAAACTTCTAAGAGTCAGTCGTTAGGAAAAGCTGAAAGAAGACAAGTCGCTGTTCGGAATAAAATATAATACGTCTTTGGTAGTTGCTTGAAAGATTAAGTCCTCGTCTAAAAAGTTGTCGGAATAAATTTAAACAACAGTTTGTTGTTATCGATAGTTTACCATCTTTAACTAAGTCGACGCTAATCATTCGATGCTGTCACAGCTTTCTTTCACACTGAAGCTCGGAGATCATCACTTCATGCAATTTCGAAGATTTGATTAAGGCGAGTTAAAATCATAGATATTAATTTTTTTGCGCAGATGTACATTAACTATATCACAATCTATCATTTGCGGTTAAGTGCTTAAAGAAGTTCAAATTAAGTTCGTTTAAGTGGTACCTGTGAATAAAAATGTACGTCTTTTTTGGTTCTACAATTATTGTGAAATGAACAGAATTTTTAAAAACTGAATTGCGCTATTTGGAAAATTATTTTTTAAATGAAATTAATTATTGCCTAAAATTTTGCTAATATTTTGCTAATTGTGCAATAACTAATAATTGTGCAATGCTAATTGTGCATATAACATGTTCTATTTTTTTTGTTGTTTTTGCTGAGCGTCGTTTCGGTGAACTGTAAACTTTGTCGTCTGTCCTTTTTTCCACGTAAGGAACAGTGGTCCAAAAAAGAATAAAAAGGAATAAAAAAGCAGCAGTTTTCGAAGCAACTGGTAGTAGAAATGAATGATTAGAAAACGTATAAATTCATGCTTTGCTTTCAATTTTAAATATATAAAATTATATATTTACTTTAATGGTAATTTATTTAATGGTTTTTGTTGTTGTTGAATGGTCTAATATGCAACTTATATGCAATCTTCATTCCATATTCGCATATACAAGTGTATATGTATGTGTGTACAGTTGTGTATACACATTTTTTTTCTTAGCACTTAGAATGTCGAACAATTGTCAAAATGTGCTGCCATCGGCGACGCAATAAGTGGAAGCCGCTTTGCTTTACGAAGAATTAAAATTCCAATAAATTTTGGAGTTGCTTTTTGCACAAATGCATGTGAAAATAATTAAAAACATAATTTCATTTTAAAGTTTTAATACATCTTTAGAATGCAACGCGGAAGAGGTGCGGAATATAGAGGTGGTGGAGGAGATCGCGGAAGAAGTTCTGAAAATAGAGGAGGAGACAGAGGTAGACGTGGCGGCGATATTGGTGGTGGTGGCTGC